CTCGCTCCATGAGTCCCCTCATGAAACAACCGAGCTAATCCAGTCCAATATAAACTTCATGAGACCCCTCATGAAGCAACAGCGCCAACAAAACCGTGTTGAATTTCAGGGTGCACGCTCCATGAGACTCCACATGGGGCAACAGCGCAAGAGGTCGAACTTGACTGATGCTCGCTCCACGAGCCCCCCTCATGAAGCAGCCGAGCTGATCAAGTTGAATACCCCACTCCATGAGACCCCTCACGAAGCAACAGTGCAGCCAGTGTGGGAATGAATCACACGACGCCCGCTTCATGAGACCCCTCCTGAAGCTTCAGCGCCAACCAAGCCGAACTGGAACCATGACGCTCGCTCCATGAGTCCCCTCATGAAACAACCGGGCGAATCCAGTCCAATCAAACTTCATGAGACCCCTCATGAAGCAACAGTGCCAACAAAACTGTGTGAAATACAGAGCGCACGCTCCATGAGACACCTCATGAGGCAACAGCGCAAAGAGGACGAACTTGACTGATGCTCGCTCCACGAGGCCCCCTCATGAAGCAGCCGAGATCATCAAGTTAAATATACCACTCCGTGAGACCCCTCATGAAGCAACAGTGCCACCAGCGTGGGAATGAATCGCACGACGCACGCTTCACGAGACCCCCTAACAGCGCCGACCAAGCCGAACTGGGACCATGACGCTCGCTCCATGAGTCCCCTCATGAAACAAGCTAATCCAGTCCGATTAAACTTCATGAGACCTGTCAGAAAGCAACAGTGCCAACAAAACCGTGTTTGATTACAAAGCGCACGCTCCATGAGCCTCCTCATGAGGCAACAGCGCAAAGAGGTCGAACTTGACTGATGTTCGCTCCACGAGTCCCTCTCATGAAGCAGCCGAGCTAATCAAGTTGAATATACCACTCCATGAGACCCCTCATGAAGCAACAGTGCAACCAGTGTGGAATGAATTACGCGATGCACGCTCCAGGAGACCCCCTCCTGAAGCAACAGCTCCGGCCACGCCGAGCTGGAACGATGACGCACGCTCCACGAAACCCCTCGTGAAGCAATTCGCCAAGCCAGTGGCACTGGAAATGAGCGACTACAAAATGTGAAAGTTCACTGAATTTCGGAAATTCTCCAGGAGATTGCGCATGGTGCAAGGAGATGCAAGAACTCCAAGCACGCCGAGTAGATGGACAGATGTTGGCTCCATGGGATCCCTCATATAGAGCAACAGCGCCAAGTGTTCAGCGCTAACCAAGTCGACCTTCAAATAGAAAGGAGCCCTGCGCACGCCATGAGACCCCTCATCAACCAACAGTGCAAACCAACAGTGCAAACCAACTCGGTATTGGACGCTCACTTCGTCGGACTCCACCAACGGATCGACAGCGCCAAGTCATTCGAAAAAGACACGCGCGCTCCATGAAACCTTCGTGAGGCAACAGCTCGACATGGATGAGACGCAGGGCACCCGCGTTCGGCTTGATACCCAAATCAAGAACCAGCTTCTGGCGTGACACTGCGCGGCCAGCTGTGCGCATTGAGGAACAGCTCCACGGTGCCCGTACCCAGTAAGGTCTTGAAACACGAGTGCAGTTGCATAAACATCATGGACAGGTAGAGACAGCCCGGCGGAACCTCCTTCATGGTCATGACTACTGTTCATTCATGCATGCCAATCGCCCACATAGTCTGAGCTCGCTCCCTGGCACCCTCATGAAGCAACGTTGCCATCACAGTGGTAAGGTAATAAAGCGCGACACGCAACCAATCACGACGTGGCAGGGTTGCAGAGTCAGCATGTCATCAGCGCACCAGCATGTAGGGACAGCGCACCTCTGCCACTGACTTGGGAAGCCTTGCAGGGTCGTCGCCAGGAGTAGCGCTTGCGCCGCCCAAGTCCCTCTTGGGTCGGCACGGTGCGGCCGCATCCGGATGGACAACAGGTGCCCCGGGTATCCGAGGTGAACACTTTCGCCTGCCGCAGCCCACAACCGCCATGCATAGGTCCCTCCCAGCGCGGACAAGCTCCTCGAGGTGGTTCTTGAATTCGAACCAAGCCGCCGCATGGATGACCTGAGCACACGTGTAGGCGGCAAGGGTGATTCCGCGAGCGCCCATGGCGTTCAGGGTCTCGCCCTGATAGACCCACCACAAGTGTAGAGTTCCTCCCTACCAAGCTAGTCTTTCTAGGGTCCCGCCCCAAAAAGAGAGAACAAACGCTATGTTGGCCAAGGCACTTGAGCCAAAACATTCGTTGGTTCAAACCTATGGCAGTAATGAATGCATGTTCACCCAAGCCTGCCAGACCTGAAACATGTTTATATATCTGTATATCTGTGTGTGTGGTCAATTCTCGGTGGTCCCTGCATTTTGATCATTTTGTGGCACCCTTCATTTGCATTTGACTCCGTGAGCTTCAGTTCCTTCAGCTACCGGGCCCATCCTGTGATGATGGCCGCGGCTTTGCATTATGTTTTACAACGTGCTGGCCTTCTGTTATGGGGGTGTTGCAACCTACTCAATGAGTGGTTGCCTTGCTGCTATGTGGATAGAATGTAATGTGAAACTTGCCATGTGGATTCCATGTGTCTTGAGCCCATGAACGTAGCTTTGAATGGGTCGCTGACCGACCTGATCTGCGCGCTTTGGCTAACTTGAGAACCATGTTGCCTTTTACCAGGAGGCTTTAGTCTCCTTTGGTTCCCGTCATTTTCTGTTGCCTAGTGCCAAGTGCCAAGGCTTAAGGGCTGAGCTTGAGTCTCTGATTTACAAATATATAATATCCATGACCTTGGGCCTTTTTCCCCGGTCATTGGTAAATGCTGCCCCTTACATCATTGAAAAGCCTCTTCCCTACCATGTATGCCAGGGGGTTCCCTTCTTCAAGTAAAACGGCGAGCACTGAGCACCACAGCATGGGATGGTCAAGTATAAAATCAAGTAATGATGTTTCTCTGCTTTCCCTTCCCCCATGCTTCCGCCACTTTCACCAGCCTGCCAATGCTGATCATACGACGCGACGGTGCTGGAGCCAGGGCAGGGCGAGCGAAGGAAAATGAAAGCCACACGATGCCCAATGTCTACCTTGACCACGAGAGCACTTGGAAGCAGTGAGACCAAGTAAGAAACCAATGGGACATTCTTGCACCCGAATGGACATGCACAACTTTGTCCGCGGCTCTTTTGAACCATTCTGGCTCTGCTGGCGCTCGAGCTCCCAGCTTCACGCCATTCCTGGTCAGTAAGCCAAGGACTGCAGGCGTAGCTCTGAAGCTATTGGCGTCAAGTATGTGCGTCTCGCTATCCACGGCCCAGCTGTTTGCTCAATAAAGGCGAGGGCCTGTCATTAGACCCAGGGCCAACCTTGTTTTTTGGTTGGCCGAATTGGCCCAGATCAGCTTCAGGAGCTTCATCACAAAGCTTCGTCAGTCACTCAACTCTGTTGCTTCTGCCTCAGCGTGTGGAGTGCTTGTTTCGGCTGAACACTAAGCGGGCTTGCTTTGAGCAAGCTTGCTGTTGTCACATTCAATGAATGAGGCCCAAACGCATATTGGCGGTGCAATCGGGTTCGAGGGAAGCTTGGAATGGTGACTCCTCCATGATGGGACAAGCAGATCGAAATTGTAGAGCATTGTAACCACACCGGTCCCCTCCGTGCCTTCCGTCCCTCCACCACCTGCATCCAACCTGGGCATACGTCCGCTAAGTCGGTAAAGCGACTCATAGTCATATGTTATAGATCGTGACAAGGCCCGTGGACACATGATATGTCTGTCGGCAGTGGGCGCACTGCGCACTTGTCAATGATGCAGTGAATGCATGTGCCAAAGAACCCACCAATGGGAGTGAATGAACCTAAACCACAGGAAGAAACATACTACAGTGACAAATTGTTTGTAGATATGTGTGTATATATATATAACCCCCCCCACCCAAAACCCCACCCAAAAACAAAAGAGAGAAAGGGAAAGTGAGAGAGAGAGAGAGATGGTATGAGCAGCTTGCCCTCGTTTCATCTTCCAGGCCCCTGCACCAAGGAGCAACCGCATGGCTTCTGCAATTCCTTCACGAAGTTGAGGGTCTGAACCCTTCGGAGAATCCGGGGGCCACTCAACAACTGTATCCTCGGCTTGGTGAGAGCCGCTTAGTTTGGTTCTGGAAGACGGATGGAATAGTTTTTCAGCCAAGTGGCAGGCACCACACCCCAGTTCTCCAATGAGAAGCCAGTCCTGATGAATGCAAAGGGCAAAAGCTGGCTGCAGAAAATCACTTGTAAACTATATAACTCATTGCAGATGAGAGAGGCACACGACGTTGTGATGCGCCAACTCATACCAATCCAAGGCTCCTCCCGCAAGCAAAGTAGTGGGAATCAGGCCTCAAATGCACAACATCAAAGTGCAGCACCTGGCCTGTTGATCCACATGATGAGTCAGCCCCTGGGTCGGAAATCTCCACCCCCACCACCACCCAACCCCTCTTGCGAGTTGGAAAACGTCCTCCTATAATGGAAATTAATCCTGGAGTGTGAATAAGCAGCTGTGCCCCAGACAGCGGGCTCTCAAGAATTTACGATAATTTACGTGACCCCGTTAGACTAATAGGAAGTGAGAAAGTACTCCCAACAGTCATAGCCCGCTGGCACACAAATCCCAATGATAAACGTCGCGATGTCACGGCTCCAAACACTGCAAGCACGCACAAGGCGCTACACCTACGCCTACACCTTCTAATACTGTACTGGCACGACACCACACATGTGGAACATTTTCGAGGCTTGAACACCCGACATGCATCTCATCGTCACTGCAAACGGCTTCGAAGCAACCCCTCCAAAAGCACACAGCATACCCCAACGTCACTGCGGCATTCAATACCTCCAAAGCACCCTGAGCAACCCAAATCCCAAGGGCATGGCGGCATGCACTGCAGCCCGGAAAAAAGGCCGCACCTGCGCAGCAAACTCCACACCCACACCCCCCCACCCCCCCCCCCCGCCCACGCACGCACGCACGCACGCACGCACGCACGCACGCACGCACGCACGCAGGCAGGCAGGCAGGCAGGCAGGCGCGCAGGCGCGCAGGCGCGCAGGCGCGCAGGCGCACACGCGCGCAGCACGTCCGCACGCTGTTTCACACGAATCAGGCCATCCAAAACCTCTTCCAAAAGTTTCCCCCAATCAGGGCCAGTGCTCTCATCGACGATGATTGTGTGCAAGACAGTCAGTTTAGCTGGAGGACTTGCTCATGAAGCCAACATCATGCAAGTGAGAGATGATGAATCAAGTGTGGTGCAGCAACTGCGGTGGTGCAAACCAGCGCATGATCTTCTTTCGGCCCTGGGAGGTTGGCAGCATCTTTGGGGGAGTCGCACGCCAACTAAGCAGACTTGACTGGTTCGGAGGACAAGTCGACTGCTGCTGAAGCATGCGGAACCGGTAATCGGGGCTGTTGTTGAGACGTTGCTGCACCAGCCGAACGGCACACAATGGTTCCCTTCATTTTCTGGTGGTGAGCCCCTTCCCATCTTTGCTCAAAACCAACCAGGTTCATTCAGTGCTGGTTCCAGCTGGAGCCACTTGTGCCGTGCATTAAACAAGGCACAATGTCAACTGACCGCCAGCGATGAGATGCAAATCAGCCGCTCCTGTAGCCGTGACCTTTGCCCAGAACTTGAACTTGAAATAATCAAAAGCAAAAGCTGCCTGGAGCCTGGAAGAAAAACTAAGGACCAGGCCCCGCCCCAAGTCCGAACGCCCACAACCTTTCACACTCAGTCCAATTTTCTTAAACGACTGCGAAGTCAATTCAGTGACGCGTTGGCTCTAGTTTGCAGCGTTTCCTAAAAGAACTTGTTCACGATGGTTGCCCATGTGCCACTAAAACCTCCTACTGGGTCAGGCGGAGTCTATATATAAATAGTCAGAGAGAAGGGGGAGAAGAAAAATATAATTACAATGAGAATTACATGTTCCACCCGAGTCTCCGCCTTACCAGCACCAGAACGCTGAAATGCATCAGCCCAGAACTCTGCGTCGGAGCAGGTGTTTTCATCCACGAGCAAAACCTAGAAAAGGCAGGAAATGTTGAAATGTTTGAATCGCAACTTCAATGAGCAAAGCGAACTAACCTGAAACATCTCTTCTTTTATTGTGACATCTTTCGCCAGAGCCACAAATTGACCACGAGCACCCAGTTCAGGGCATCGAGTTGGACGCCGACCAGGTCGTGGGACCGTCCATCCAAGCACACCCAGTTGCCTTCGTCATGTCAAGTTGAAAACAAAGAATTCCATTTTGCAAAGCGGCACGAGCTCTTTCCAAGTTGCAGCTGCTTCAAGAACAATTCTGCTGCAAAACCGCCACTGTTGCCTGCACAACATGCAAAAAAATCTACACACCCCCCCACCCCAAAAGAAACAAGAAGAAAAACAAGCACTCGAAACCAAAACATGATAACACGTACTTATTAATCTTCTACACCAGTCCTTGTGGCCAACTGACCCTTGGGACCTGTCTTGCTTAGTGCTAAGGCACAGCGCAAATCAATGATCATTGCATCTTTGCAGCTTTCGCGTGGAAAGTAGCCTTGGTTGAACTGTGTGGCTGGAGCCACAGCGATGCAAATGACAGACATGTGGAAAAGGATCTATGTAAATCTTGAGTCTGATCTGCATGGTAGTACACGGGAGGAGGGTTGTTACAAACATTATATATATATACTGTTGAGTAGCAGCGCAGCATCAAAATCGGGGCAAAATGTAGAGGTGCCTGTGTGGTCCGGGTGGTGGTTCCAAGCTGGATCGTTGAATTTGAGTCATTTGAGTAGGGTTGTGACTATTGCTTTTCGGATTTGCACTCGATTGGACCACTTGATGTGCACCTTGTTAGACCACCGAATGCAGTGATGCACTGATGTGTAGATGTTGCAGATTTTGCAGTCATCACTATGGCGTAATGCCTTTGCATGTAAAACATATCGATGTGAAGGTCTGGGCCAAAGTAAGCATTGGTCGTCCAAGTGGCGGTAGAACTCCACAAAGCCCAGCCGAACAGTGTCCGGAACCAAAATGTAGCCTACCCGCCCGTTGGTGGCCTCACTCACCACTCTCCCATTCATCTCAACCAAATCACGCATAATCGCATTCTTCCTCGTGTTTTCGTCAGCTGTCGCCACCCGCACGGTTCTCCACACGGAAACATTTTCGATATGCATCTTCTTGAACATGGCAGCCAGCTTACGCTCAGTCTCTTCCTCTTTAGCACCCTTTCTCTGATGCTTTTTTCCCTTCTTATCCTTCTTGCCTTTTTTGCTTCGACTAGGATCTGTTTGGTTGAAGCGGCTCCAGGCATTGTGAAAACCCTCCACCCCACCATGCTCCTTGAGGGCTTCCTGTATTGACAGGAACGACTGAACGTTTTCCGCAGGCACAAAGGTGACAAAAACCTCTGAAGAGTTGCTTTCAGCTAACAGCTGCTCCAAAGGCTTTGATTTGCAAACCTGAATTCGATTGATCGCCAAAATCAAAGTTCCAACTGTCATTCCAACTCCTGGCCGCGCCACTGGACCACTGCTCTGAGGATCCCATCGATCGCCTTCAATTAACTTCTCAACTTCATAGGCTCCAAAGGTCGTGAAGTCTCGCCATGAGCACTCTGCCACTCCCATAGTTCGCAGATCGTTCGCCGATCCGCTCCGCGACTCTGCGAACTCTTCCTTGGATGTATCAAGGCTCACATGGCTCAGGCCTAGTTCTGCAAGCATCTCTGTGCAAAGGTCGGTCAGCTCTGTCCAGCTGCCAATTCGGGGTAATACCTTGGAGTACGATTCACATAGCCCATCCCAATCCAAACCTCCACACTCTGGGTCAAAAAGACACTCCTTGACAAATTCCTTAATTGCCGTGAACGTCTGCACTTTCTCATCGGCGAAAGCCACCTGCAACATTATTCTGCTCAAGTCAAGGGTGCCAGACTCAGGACCTATTGTCGAGCTTGCTTCGCTTGCATCATCCTGCATTTCAGTTGCACCTTTTCCCGCAGATGCCACCATATACTCTGGATCATCCCCACATTTGCAAACAACCATGTCCTCCAACTTCAAGCTAAGAGAAAAATCACTCACATCTTCCCAGAGTTTCTCTTCTTTCAGATTGCGAAAGTCAAAGCTCAAGAAGAAGTTGTGATCCTCCTTTTCGTCATCATCATCATCATCAGCACCAACTTCATGGGGGCAACTTGGTCGAGGTGACTCTCGCATGTAAAGAAATTTGCCACCTGAAGTCCAAGCACACTTCTTGTATCGACCAGTTTTCACCGGGAATTTCAAAAGCCTGTTCTCAATGCCCTCTAGGTCAACAAGTACCTCCTTGACCTTGCTCATTTCTTCGGCCTCACTCTCACCAGAGCACGAGCTCTCAGCTTCACCATCACCATCCAATTGGGACTGAGACTGGGCCAAGCGAAGGAATGGATTCCGGCAGCCTTTCTGCAACAGGACCAGGAAGGGCACATCAGCACCATGCGCAAAACTCAAATTGCAAGTGACGTCATCCTCCACGGGAGCAAAAGACCGTGTGGATAGAAAAGCCAAGTACGAGCCATCAGGATCGAAGCTAGGAGAGAAGTTCATGAATGTCGAATCTGCGACAACGGTTTTCACACGGCTCTTCAATTCCAACAAGATGAGGGACGAACCATGCTGCAAATCTTTCCGGCAGTATGCGACCCACTCCCCATCCGGAGACCATGATGGATCTGAAATCCCATCTTCCCACTCACTCAAGTCGAGCTGTGACGACTCCAAATGAAGAATAGTGTCTGTTCTGGCAAAGGGTCGCTCTGCTGACGGGCGATCTCCATCATCAGTGCAAAACTCGACCAACCACAACTCATTCCGGGATGTCGTAATCAAAACAGCGTCGTGAACAGGAGAAGCAGTGATACTAGATAGCTGCCCTCGCATATCTGGCAGAATAAAGCTTTGCGTTGGCAAGACAATATCAGTGAGATCACGCAATACATCCCCAATCTTTCCCGTTTCCTCGCAGTGGAGCATGGGGTAAGCTGGATGGATCGCGAGAGTCCAGTTGGGTAAGTTTGAATCTGCTACCGTCAAGACACGACCACAGCACAGGTAGCAAAAGGCTACACAGCTGCAAACTTCTTTCGGCAGCCGCATGACTGGACCTTCCCATAAGGGCATTTCATAGACAGAGCCACGGCACAAGCAAGAAATAAGGTGTCCCTTGGGATGTAGTGCGACCTCTTCAGCCCATTCAGCAGCTGGCAAGCTTCTTGGCAAATGACAATTCGGATGCCCAAGACTGATACTTAAAGGATAAGACTCCGCCGTGTCGGTGGAAAAGCACCAAAGCTGCCCTGCGACTGTGTATACGATCATGTCCTGGTCATTCTTGGCATAACGAACATCAAAGACTTCGTGCCCGGTGTGTTTCTGCAAATCCTCCCCCTTCAGGTTCGTGCTCCACAAGTTTCCCGATCCATCCGGGTCGGCCAAGAAAAACAATCGAGTTCTCTGCCACATCAAGCAGCTGATATTCATCAACACACCAACTTCAGATGGACAAAATGGATCCTTAAACTTCAGGGGCTGAAATGTGCCATCCAAATTTAGCCATACAGAGCCGTGCATCCCACCACGATATCCCTGCGCCAGAAAACAAATCCACACTCGTACAAAGACTGCTTTTCCAAAACCCGGTGTTCAGGTTACAGTATGGCTATGTTCAACTCAAACACCCAGTGCCTTCCACAAGGTGGTTGGCGTGTCCAGCATCTTTCGACCAACGCAAACGCCACCCCCAGGCCCGAATGCAATCGAATCAAACCTAAAGACACACTGACCAATCGAATGAAATGCTGAGTTTTTGTTGACCAAAAATGCCCAGAAACTCCCCTTCGAAGAGCTTTCTTTGCCCACCACCTTCAGAGAAGGCATTTGACTCATTTGACAGCCGTCTACTTGAAGGTGAGCTTTGTGCTACTGATGGCTACTGCAAGTTGCTGTTTGTTTAGCCGCATATCATGCCAAGAAATCAAATGTCCATTCTCGATACGCAGGGCGCCTGAAAGATCAACTTGGTATAGTGAAGGTCGGTCAAAGGCGTCTGCACCTCACATTCTTCAGACCCCACATGCGCAGTACTTAGCTTGGCTGGTACAGATCAAGGAGCATGTGCTTGCAAAAGTTATGGCATTGTCGCCAGACCACGCAGTAGGCCAAAGGTCACCTCGATTCTACAATCACTTCAGCTGCTGCTGCTTTCAGTCAGGACTTCCTGAGCCGTCATCAGCACATGTCTCACATTCAAGCCAAGGCACCGCTGCCAAACCATGTAAGTCGCCTGGAGCAATGTGGGTAAAGCAAAATGCGCACCCTGCTCAAGAAGTGCAACAAAGAGAAATGGGAGAGATTCAAAATTAGGCCAGCATAGACCAATTGACTTTTCCGGCAGCACCAACAGCACACTGCAGCGGCAGCGGCACCCCACCGCCTCCAGCACCCAAGCTCCCAAGCAGCACCCAAGCTCCCAAGCGCATACAGCAGCGGCACCCTGCACGCAAGCTCCCAAGTGCACACAGCAGCGGCACCCTGCAGCGGCACCAGCACCCAAGCTCGAAAACGCACACATGCAGCTCTTCCTATACTTGAAGTAAGAATCCCAATAGCTCACGCTATCTGGGGAAAAATAGAGGGAGAGAACTGATAAAGGAAAAAGGACACCGGCCTTTTGTGACCATCCTCCAAAGTGATCACCCACAAGTCCGAGGCAAGGGCAAAGGCAAGCAAGTCACCACCAGGTGAAAGCAAAGGCTGGCAAGCTCCATGGCAGCCCAGGCGATAAACTGTGGACCCAAGCAAATCTGTGATCCACAGGTCTTCCTCTGCAACAAATGCCACCTGCGCATTGGAGCCGTGCCGGAGGGGTTTTAAAAGGGAACAGCCCTGCAAGAAGCTTTATCTCTCTCTACCCCGGCTCAATGCCTCTCCCTCTCAATCTCAAGATGAGGCAGCCCCCCAGGAACAGTGGCGAGATTAATGACTACTCAGTGGATGGGAGCCAGAAGATTCCGGGGGGCAAGACTGCAGAGCTTCTTGGTACCAAAATTGAGCGAGGGCAAAACGAGACAGCAAGCGTCAGTGAGAGTAGAGGGACACAACAAGAGCTGAGCAAGTTGTGAGCTTCGTGACGGCATTCAACTTTACAGCTTGCTACATTCGTTTGGTTTGTGAGATCCGCCACGCCTCCTCGACTCCTTGAAACTAGCTGCAGAGTTTATAGTGTTCCAACTCCGATATAAGCAAGTGCAATAAAGGCTTGTAGCGCTCCGCCACAAATGTTCAAAATGTCTATCGATACATGCATCCAAAGCAAGGACGCTACTAGGAACAAGTGCATCGCTTTTAGTAACAAGTGCCTTTCTAGTAGTAACAAGAAGCTACTAGGGGCTCCTGGCCATACTACTAGGAGCAAGGACGCTAGTATGGTTCGCCTTCTGTCCGCTCACGCAGGGCTGGCGGAGATAGCCGTGATGCGGCAACAGTGCTCCATTCATGGCCAACGCATTCCGAACTGGCCGGGGTCTGCCAGGCTCTGGACCAAGAAGGCTTCGGGGCAAAAGAATCTCATCAGTCATATCAATCTAATCTGTGTCAAGTCAAGTCAGCGTAGCCTGAAACGACATCCGCTTTTGGCATCCTTTGTGGCCTCTCCTAGTCCCTACAATTGAAACTGGTAAGCTGGGGTAGGCAACGAACACAGAACGGTCTGCATTCTCATTGTAAAGAGACAGCTGCCAAATGCAATGTCTGATTAAGTTTATCCGCTGTGACTGCTCTGCGAACCGCTCTGAAGTGGACAGCTCATGAGCAAACACATGAGCCCCGGAAAACACTGTGTCCCTGAACTTCGCACCATTTGGTGGGAAGCCTGAGGACTGGCCACTGGTGAAACATAGCAGCACATCTACGCATATAAATCCTTGAACCTCTCTCAAACCTTGGAGTCTTGGGTCTCTGCGAGCGTGCGCGTACGAGGATGCCGCCGTACACAACAGAAAGGCCTGCCCAATTTAGGAGGCCGTTTCGGTTGTTCAGGGTCACCGCCAAACTGTGCACTATTCAGCACCATGTCCTCCACTCCCAAGATCCATGCCAACTCTCTCACTTGCTGCTCCTGGCTGGCGGGAAGCTCCAAAGGTTGTAGCACATCTTCTTCACCAAGCTGCGAGAGCAGCCTAAGGCGGTCGACGATGTGCCTGAAGGCAACTGCTGGATATTCAAGATAAGGACGCTGGTTGGCATCCAAATTTGATAGGCGAACGCTGTCCTTGGCAAAGAGCTTGTACAACAAGGAATCTGGAGGAGCCTGCAACATAGTGCCCCTGCAAACTGAAAACGGTTCGCCACCCACATTTAAGTTCAAGATTTCCATGCCATTCGCCATGCGGACACTTGGACGATTCTGTGCCACTGCTGCCTCAGCAGCTGCTGCTGCCGCTTTCGCGGCGGCGGTGACCTCTGCCATGAGACCCAAGTTCTCGGCACCCATGGAGTTAGCAGAGGCCTCCTCTTTCAAAACCTTCAAGACAACATCCAGAGGACAGTTCTTGTACTCAAAGTGCCAGAAGGTTGGACCTAATTCTGCCATGTCTAAAATGTGAAGGTGGAGAGAGTTTACCGAGTTGTGCCCGAAGACGTGATAAAAAAGGCCAACTCGATCGCTCCAACCAGGACAAAGCGAAGTGTAGCGCAAAGCTGCGGCCTTCATCACTTCTATCAAAGCAATCGCTCGACCAAGTCCTGCCCCTCCCTTACTCTCTGGCAGGAGCCCAAAGCCAAGTACATTGAACCACTGCCAATGCAAATCTTTGATGGTCAAGAAACGATGGCGTTTGGACATCGATGCCTTCCCCACCCATTCTTTGTCATCTGAGTCCCAATGCTCATCGTTGGCTGGCAAGTTGCTACAAATAATGAAGTGATCTTTAAACTCTTGAAGATATTCCTGCTCCTTGTCCATTCCTGGTTGTGTCATGACACCTCCACCAATGCGAGCAAAGACATTGAAGGGACGAGTCCCTGTTGTCAAGTTCCCCGTCACTGGGTCAATGAAACCCGATCTATTCAGCTCCTCTTTCAAAGTTGCCATGCCTCCGAGCTCTTCAGTGAGCATCCGTCTTGCAGCCCGGAAACTTGCAGCATCTTTGATAATCGGGAGGCGGCCGACAATCTCAGCTTTCACAGAGGTTGCACCATCAGTTCCCGCAAAAAAGAAATTTCCCAAATTCTGGTGGTTCTCTCCAAGGGTTGAATCTCTTCGCCTCCTTGCCCCTGCTTTCTCAAGAAGGCCTGGCAAATCTGTTGTTTTCACAGGAGCTGGGAGGAAATTAGTGGCAGCCTCCTCACGCAAGACCTTGATGACGTCATCCAAAGGCAAATTCTTGAAGGCATGGTAGCTAAATGCAGGTCCAAGTTCCGCCATGTCGAGCACATGGATGAACAAGGAGTTCACATTGTTGTGCCCAAAAACATTGACAAAGAGGCCGATTTTCTCCGACCATCCTGCATTCTTGGCAAACAGAAGGGCCGCAGACTTCATCTGCTCCACTTCAGCTAGAGCTGCTCTGGCTGCTACACCATCATCATCCGCTGGAACAAGACCAAAGATTAGCGGATTGAACCACTGGTAATGCAAATCTCTTGTTGTCAAAAACCGATGCAAACGAGCCATTGATGAAGTTTTCACCCACTTCATATCTGGGTTATCCCAGTTGATGTCCTTGGCTGAGCAGGGAGCTCACGCCAGTGCACGAAGGCTATGATGGCATGTGGCTTGCAGCCAAGTGTCATTCTCCAGTTTGTTTCTGCAAATCTTGAACTTGGTCTTGAAGGTGCCAAGCAGTTCCTCTCGCACTTCTTCCACAAATCCGGAAGACAGCTGCTCAAATACTTGTCACGTGAGGGGGGCTGGATTCACCGCTGTTTGGTCTGTGCATTTTCATAGAAGAACGAAGGGGCACATTGGAAGAACTGGCATGCCCTAAGGCCCTAAGGCGGACTGAGCATTACATTCCCCACAGTCTCCTACAGTGAACCTCGGGCCTTCAGCCCCCACCTGTTCTCACAGGTCAGTGGCGCTTGTGCATGCAAGCCATCCACATGAAGCGACTCTGAATGCATGGCACTCCTGTTCCGGTTCAGATTCTGGTTGCTTCCTCAGGCTCTGCAGGTGCTTAAGAACCACTGGAACAGCAACGTGCACCAAAATGCTCCAAATAGAGCAAACCATGTATATATATGCCTATTAAAGTACATAACTCTTTATATTGATATATAATTACAGTATGTATGTGTATGTGTATGTGTATGTGTATATATATATATGTGTGTGTGTGTGTGTCAATGTACCTGAAATGTTTAAAAATGTTTTCAGATTTCTCCGAGGGTCAAATTGCCACTCGCAAGAAGAGCAAAAATGTTCATCGGTCTCTCAAGCAGCGTGAGCTTGGAGGTTTCACCTGACTTAAGATATGCCAAATGCGTGCATTAGCAAACACAAAAAGATCATACCGCGAGTTTGCAATTCGAGCGCTGCTGCACTGCTTAAGTTCCATCCAAGTCCCGAGCCGTTGACATAGCCAGAATAAATCAGCTCTTCTTTCACTGCTAGAGCACCACCGAGATCCTTCGGCGGTGAGTGTTTCATCTGCACTGCAAATGACAAGCATGCAAAAAGGGAAAAGGACGAATACTGCTGCAATGTTAGTTTTGGAATGTCTGCTTTTCATAGCCCGCCTTACTTAATTAAGTAGGCGCCTACTCATTTAATATGTAAGGGCGGGTTCCTAGATTTTTAGGGAAACTGAACTTTGCTAGGTTGATCCTTGTGGGTTTTTTTATATGGTTTTAGGAAGGTTCCCAGAAGAGGGCGAAGGGTCACCCCCTATATACCCAAAGCTGTTTCGGCTGGACTTTAGTTAGGCTGCGGTTTAGTTTTGTCTTTTCTTTGGTTGACTTGGCTTGGCTTGAAGAAGGGGGAGAGCGCAGCGGCTCCCCAAAAAAAGGAGAGCAAACAAGTGCCAAGCCACCAAAAAGCCACCAAATGCCGACAAGAAAGTAAGTTTTCAAAACGAACTAGCCATCACAACCCAACGAAATCCACGACCAAAAGCAAGCCATGAAAAACCAAACCAACCCTCAACCAAACGTCAACCCAACTGCCACACAAGCCATGAAAGGCCAAAAGCCATCAAAATCTAAATTCACCAAAAAGCTATCAAAAGGACTTCTTGTGCTCGCAGGTGTGAAAGAAACTTTGCTTTTTTCGATGGGCCCACAAAGTGCTTAAGAAAGAGTGGCCCCAGGATTAGGGAGACCAGGCGACTCTGGAAACAGAGGACCAAGAGACCCAAGAGACCAGGAGACCAAAGAGAAAGCCAAAAGTGAAGCAGCCATGAAGCCAAAAGCCAAGGGCCAAAATCCAAGAAAGCCGAAAGCCACAGAAGCAACAGACAGAAGCCACGGAGTAGAACAAAAGAATTCAAAAAACAGCCCTCTGACGGATACTGCCATAGCACGCAGTAGTGTGCCTCCCCTACCCTCTCGCGCGCACGCACTCAGTCACTTTGACGTGTCATTATGTGTCACTCCCATTGTGAACGCTTCTGAAACCTAAAGCTTGAGATGCGATGTCTGCCAGATCTCCTGCACCAACTTTCGGGCAGACCGATAGTGCGCCGCAGAATTGAGCTCTGGAATCTTGCCTGGTGCCGCTTAGCTTAGCAAGTCGCCAATCGCCGACATGCAAAAATGGTTGCCTTGTGCGCCTGACAAATCACAAAATCAACCTATTGTACATATATATATATATGTATGTTATACATACTTCATGATCCTCTTTCAATTTAGCCACCCTCGAAACGTCTGCCTGTGATCTCGGCTTTGAGAGATGTAGCACCCTCCACGCCAAGGAAGGAGGACTCTTGCATCTTGAGCATTTGCGCATCAGCTTCGGTCACGGCGCAAGCTTTCGTCCAATCCGGACCTGGGTTAACCATTCATAGGGAAAGAGAAAGAAAAAGGTATGCCGGGCCAGCTCAGTAGTGATGAGCTCCGCACCAGCTGTCGGTCCAAAAAACGCCTGAGGGTTTCAAAGAGAAACTGCATAGGCATATGACATCATAGACTATTATACATGTGAAGTGCACGCTGTGCACTAGGTTTGAACATGTTTTACCTGACCGCCACCGCAGGGTGGGCTCATGCTGCCAAAACCTGGCACCGGGCGTTGCGCGTTCGCGCGCGTTTTCCTTTCGTGGTGGGCGTTCGCTTTCGCCTTTGCGTTCGCCGTTCACCTCCGCACTTCGTGGACTTCGTGTACCACCAGTGTTTCCGCATTGGTAGCGGAGCCTCCCCGCCAGGGAGGCTCCAGCTGCGCACTTCGCACCGCCGAGCAAGTCGCTGGGGATAAGCCCTTTGTCACCAACCCTTTGCCGAGACCTTCACACTCCTGCTTGCTGAGTTCTTTGTTGAAGACCCTAAGCAGGATGCCATTCGCACTGTCCAGAAGCTACATCGGAATCTTGGACATCTTGCACCCAAAGAACTTGAAGAGCTACTTGCAGCTCGTGGCGCCAGTGATCAAGTCCTTGAAGCAGCAAGAACTTATGTTTGTGTCGCCTGTGCCAAATACAAGAAGCCTGCGGATGCTGCACCCGCTGCGATGCCGACGACAGCGACCTTCAACCAGACCGTGCAGGCTGATGTCTTCTGGCTGCGCCGGGGCACGACCAAGTTCCCGATCGTGAGCATGGTTGATGTTGCAACTCGCTTCACTGTGGCCATGCTGCTGCAGAATGAGCAGTCTGAGGAACTGGTGAAGGCCTTTCAACGTGGCTGGCTTGCTATGTTTGGACCTCCGCAGCACCTCATCACCGACGAAGGACGAGGGTGGCTAAGTCGTGAGTTTGAAGAGTGGACAGCAGGTCACGACATCTTCCATGAAGTCGCCCCTGGTGAAGCCCATGAGAGGTTGTCTATCGTTGAGAGACGCCATGCAGTCCTTCGCAAGGCTCTCGAGGTCTACTGCGACGAGTACAAGCACTTCAATGCTGCTGGCGTCAAAGAGGCCCTGGTCTATGTGGTTCCTCAGTTGAATGCAGTCACCTCTGTGTCTGGCTTCTCACCTAGCCAGTGGGTCTTGGGCTATCAACCTCAACTGTCAGGTAGTCTCCTGACGGAGCGCTTGAACCCCGCACAATTTGGTGGCCATGAGGACTTCGAGATCAACCTGGCTCGTCGCTCTACAGCACAAAAGGCTATGATTGAGGCAGATGCTGACCGCCGTCTCCGCAGGGCACTTGGAGCAAAGTACCGTGGCTTGAATGCTGAGTACAGCCTGGGCCAGAAGGTTTGGTTCTGGCGAGATGCTCGACAACCTGATCTTGTGAAGATTCGTTGGCTTGGGCCCGCTCAGGTTGCGATGAAAGAGCACAAGGCTGATTCTGAAGGTCAACAGCGTGTCCACGTGTACTGGCTGGCCTACAAGACACAGCTCATTCGACGTGCGCCTCACCACGTGCGTGCTGACATCAAAAGCATTGGCCACGCCTTGGATGATGCTCAACAAGCCCTGTCTACGGTGCAGCAGCTTCGTTCACGTGGGGTCACTCGCTACTATGACCTCCACCGCCTCAACAAGAGGACACTGGCTGAGATCGAATCTGACGATCAACATGATGACCCTGATGGTGATGTGATGGAAGACTCTGACCACGAGATGGCACCTCCCCGACAGAGACCACGATTGCTACTACCTGATGCACCACGTCCTGATGCACCTGAAGCACTGCCACCAGTAGCAGCAGAGGAGTACACACCTACATCACCAGCGAACTCAGCAGTGGCACAACTGGCAGAGCAAATGGCAGAACAACAGGCAGCACAAGCAGAGCGGAACACAGCAACAAGCACCGCGGCAGCTGCAGATACAAACAACCCAGGGACTACCGCAACTGACCTTGAGATGTTGCCACGAGTTCCCAGCGAGCTGGACTCAGTTTCTGAGCCAAGCGAAGAGCCACCGGCTCAATCCGCTCAGCCAACACCTCATGCATCACAACCACCGGCAGAAGAGCGACCACAGCTTGATCCAGCAACAGCTGCACTTTATGAACCACAACATGAGGCAGAAACATTTGCACAAAGGCGAGCACGCCTAAATCGGCAAGAAACATTGAGCTTTGCACCCTGGCGAACACGACCTGCACATGCAGCAATTGCACCCTACAATGCAGAGCACAGCAGTTCAGCACCGACACCACCAGCAACAGATGATCTTGCAGGACAAGCCTTCTGCCTCGACGACCTTGACACGAAGATGTTGCCTACGGGGTGGAGGATGGATGAACACGGGTTTCTACAGCTCGCTGACAAGGAGGCCGACTACTGGGAGATCCGAGCTGGATGCCTCGTCCGGCACCATTGTGTCCCTCGAAGAGGCCGACTTCCACTGAGTCAACTTCCCAAAGATTGTCCAGTTGATGCGACGAAGCTCGATCCCATCCGGGTGACTCTCATTCACCAGCCTGGAGGGAAAAGCCGCCTGTTCACTGATGATGGTATTGAACACTCACCACCGCCTATGGTCAATGGCACCTGGACAGGGGCCACCATCTATCAGTTGAACGGCGACACCAGGAAGGAGCTTGCTATGTACGCTGGACCTCATCACCACCATGTGAGTGCCAAGCAACAAGGAAAAGATCAAAAGCTGGCACGACAAAAGAAGTTCAAGAAAGAGAAGGGCGGCGTCAATGAGCGACTACTTGGCCCCCATGAGCGCGCAATGTTCAAAGAAGCCAAGGTGAAAGAGCTCAAGAGCTTCTTCGACCACCATGTATGGGTCTTTGAGTCTGTTCGTGAAGCGGACCCAGCACGCACCCTGACGAGCCGCATCCTCCTGAAGTGGTCCAAGAACCCTGACGGTTCACCCAGGGCTAAGGCACGGCTCATCGCGCGTGGTTTTGCTGATCCTGACGCTTTGGCAGGTAGCATTGAGACTTCATCTCCAACAACCACACGACTTTCCAGGTCCATGCTGCTATCGCTTTCAGCGACGATGCAATGGAACATGTGGACTGCCGACGTCAGCACGGCCTTTCTTCAGGGTCGCAGCCAGGATCGCGAACTGTGGGTCAAGCTTCCTTCTGAAGCACTGGCATTGCTTGGAGCTGACGAGGACACCCGCATGCTGCTGTTGAAGCCATGTTATGGCCAGATCGATGCACCACGTGGCTGGTATCTTGAGGCCGTTGAACGTTTGACCAAAATGGGTCTCCAACAGCATGTATTGGATCCTTGCGCCTTCCTGGTCTACGAGTTGGATGACCCCAACTATGACGCCAGTGACCCAGTGCATGAAACGGTGAGCAACTTCGGTGATCACCGCATGGTTGGAATGATCATCATGCACGTAGATGACCTTCTTGGCACTGGATGCCCACATAGCCCTCGCTACCAGGCAGTCGTTGAAATGCTCAAGAACAATTTCAGCTTCCGTGAATGGAAGGAAGAACAAGCTGTCCTGGAGTACTGCGGTTGCGAGCTGGAGAAGACCAACAGCGGTGGCCGCAAGCTTCATCAAACCAAATATATGGAGAAGGTGAAGCCCATCAACTATGACAAGAAGCGCTCAGCGACCGACAGCCTGCATGAGCGCGAGATCACACAGTTGCGTGGTCTACTGGGCTCACTACAGTGGCCGGCAGTGCAAACTTCGCCGCATCTGCAGCGCAGCACCTCCTTGATGGCTGCACATGTGAACCATGGCACTGTGAGCACTCTGGCTGAGTGCAATCGCTTGCTCAGGTTTGCCAAGGACAACAAGGACATCGGCCTGACCTACAACCATTTGGGTCCATTGAGCAAGCTGCGCCTACTTTGTTTCTTTGATGCTGGTTTCTCCACCCGAGCTGATGGTTCCTCGCAAGGAGGCTACATCATGATGTTGGTGAATGAAGACCTCATGCACTCAGATGAGGAGGGTGAGTACCACATCATCGACTGGCGCTCGTTCCGCACACCGCGGATTGCTCGCTCGTCTCTTGGAGCTGAGGCCCAATCTGGTGGACAGGCAAGCGACGCAGTTGATTTCGCATGCCGTTACTGGCATCATTTGCTGGAGCCTTCTATGTCCCTCAAGGACTTGCTTGGTGTGACCTCCACCTTGAAGCCGGTGATGATCACCGATGCGAAGGCCCTGTACGACAGCTTCCACCGAGAGGCTACAAGCTCTTCAGTGGTGGACAAGCGGGTCAGCTTGGAGATCCGTGTGATGAAGGAGCGCCTGTTTGAGCTGGGTGGCACCCTGAAATGGATGTCCTCTGATCGGCAAATTGCCGATGGGCTCACGAAGGATTCTGCAAGATCCTTGATGAGCAGCCGCTTGCGCCACCAGCGGCTCAAGCTGACTTGGGACCCCGAGTACAAGGCCATGAAGAAAAAGACAAAAGTTGAAAGATCCCAGGCCTTGGCTGAAACGACCTCCGGCTTTGAGAACATGGAAAAGCATGACATGCATGATGCACCAACCCCGGAAGAACATGAAGTACATGAACATGTGCATGAGCTGCCCCATGAGACCCCGGAGAGTGGCATGTCTGAGTACGTCAACTTTGTTTCCAACGAGGCCGCTCTTGTGTATGTCTTTGCCTCTAGCCATGTCGCTGGCCGCCGGCAGAATGTGAAGAAGGGTCGCCTTTCGAATGTCATGGTTTGGGTACTATGGCTCCTGCTGCTGCAACACGCCCGAGCAGAAAACACCTGCTCGCCTGCCGACGAGAACACCCCTGAGCCTGACTGGTTTTTGTATGTGATGGCAGGACTCCTTTTCATGGTCCTGCTGATGGTTTTTTGGATTGGTCGACTGACCAAAGCTGCACCGGCGGCAAAGCCTGTGGTGGTTGCCCATGCCGAGACCCAGAAGGATGAAGCGATTGTGCCTTCGCGTCTCCGCGAGCTTCTCAAGGCTGAGCAGGATCGGAGTGCTCAGTTCCGAGCAGCCGCCACGGAGGCCAAGAAGGGGATGGAGCTTGGGATGGAGGAGCGCAACCAGCTCTACCAGCTGCTGGGTGATGGCGCCCGTCTCCTGCGGAAGATGATGAACAAGATCGATGACCACATGGAAATGTGCCCTCACCGGGTACCAGTGATGGCATCCCGCCATGGAGAGTGCTGGCACTTCGACTCGTGCCATTGCGCTGAAGCTGTGGTCGACCGGAACCGCATGAGGCTCCGATACTGCGCCTACTGCGCAGACCCCCATGGGCCGCTGGATAGATTGAATTTTGAGTTGGGTGGATGCCTGAGAGATGAAATCCAGGCTTGGCTGTCAGACCATGAAGGTCTTTGAAAGCTTCCACCGATGTGAAGTGCACGCTGTGCACTAGGTTTGAACATGTTTTACCTGACCCCCACCGCAGGGTGGGCTCATGCTGCCAAAACCTGGCACCGGGCGTTGCGCGTTCGCGCGCGTTTTCCTTTCGTGGTGGGCGTTCGCTTTCGCCTTTGCGTTCGCCGTTCACCTCCGCACTTCGTGGACTTCGTGTACCACCAGTGTTTCCGCAATACAGTAATTCAAGTTTATGTGCAAATCCGCTGGAGCCTCAAAAAGTGGGTTCATGGCCCAGCTGCTGCTTTGCTTGAAGTCCTTTGGCCTGCAAGCATATTTGTGCACAGTCATTGGAGCTTCATGCACTGCCATGGAGCTGTCCTGCAATTGTCCTGCAAACCTGAGCCCAAGACTGAGGAGGTGATTCCGCCGGCAACGAAACAGGGGTTGGCATGTTGTATGCTTGAGCCAACCAACTCTCCTGTGACAACACGTTGAATGTGATTCATGATTGATGAAATGCCACGCCATTGCGAGTTCAGCGACAAGCATCCACCACTTTTTGGCCAGCAAACGCTGCTGTTCATGCGGAGCTGCTCTTGTGTCGCTCTGGCCGTCAGAACCTGAAGTGCAACTTATTCACTGCTTCTCCCGTTCTCATGGCGCGGTACAAGCTCAGGAGACGGCTGGGTTTGCAGGGCAGAGCGGACTGATTGCTGCACCTTCTTTTGTGGGACAATGTTTCTCAACATGCCCGGCAGCGTAGCACCGGCTTTGCTTAAAAGCATCAGCGGTCTGAGTGCTGCACCCAATTCTTGCAAACATTCATCTCATGCTTCAAGTACAGCCTTGGAATCTAAAAGCCATGCTCCTTGCAACAGGCAAACCTCACTGAGGTGGCCGCATGTCACCTCGTAGCAGGAGGTACTGCTGATTCAACAAGGCCACCTTGTGTCAGGCAGCTTTCAAAGGAAAACTAAACCATCCATTTGCGGTCTCACAACTCTTGGTCAGAAATGGAAACTTGGTCAAGCATGTTACTTTGCTCTTTGGCCTCTACTCGCGACGAAGCAGTGCAACGCACAATGGCTTCACACATTGACATACACATTACAACCTACACAATGTCAACTGACCTAACTCTGCAACTGGGTTCCAAGTACATGTTCACCCTTTTCATGCAAATCACGAGTCTGACAGGAGGCTATGTGGCTGCCCTTGATCGACCCCGACCCTCACCGTACCAAACGCAACATCCTTCGTTGATCCTGTAGCTGGGCATGAAGGGCTGGACTGGAACGATATTTGCGACCCACTGCTATTTTGGATTGCTTTTCCAGCACCCAAGCCAGCATAGCTAGCTTTGGCAAGGCCACTCTCTGCAAATTGTCGCATGGCACCACGGCACCGTGGCCTTCAAAAAGAAGGCACGCAGCCTTTCCCGGTGCAAGTCAAGTTCAGCCCGGCAGCTCGAACGAAGTGCCAAAGGCATGCTTGCAAAGTATCTGATAAAGTCCTCGATGTGTTTTTGTTGATTGCTGTGGCTAGGCTAGGGATTGACAGCGGCCTCATGGAAGAAACCTGCAGCTCGACCAGGTCCCGAAGGTCATCTTTCAGCAGCCAAGCTGATCGCTAATCGCAACTTGGGGCAGTTGTTGGCATCTCAGAATGTAAGAATCTTCACGACTACACGGCACCTTCAGCTAAGTCCTCCAAGACCCTCCACCATATGGTTCAGCGTCCAGTCAAAGGCTCGGATCTAGGATGGTAGGACGTCAAAGAACTCCTTCACCTTACATACATCCACTTTGCGCGGAATGAAACTAGGATACAAAATGAAGAAAAACGAACAGACTAGTATGTAGATGGCAACATACTAGACTAGCCTTCTACCTGGCCTTGTGCCACGGAATTTGTGAAGGTTCTCTGTAAACGAAGAAGGTTCGCCGCGCAAGAATGCCCTGTTCCATAGACTGCACCTGGTGAAGTAGGGCAAACGAGCACCGGATTCAGCAAGTTTACCCGGGGAAGTCGAACAGCTAGTAGCGTTCTTGCTCCTAGTAGCGATGCCACGAGCCCCTAGTAGCTTCTTCCTAGTAGTACGGCCAGGAGCCCCTAGTAGCGTCCTTTGCCCTATCCACCTCCAATGTCCATTCTCCTGGAGATAGGGGCTGAGTTGCAGTGTACCGGTGCCACACCAATACTGAGTGCTCTGAAATCTTGATCGGAGCATGCCTCAGCTCAATACATTCACTTGGCAAGCGTGCAAGAAAGATCTTTCCTTTGGGGGCCTATTTTATGAACTCTGGCCATCTGTATCACCAGGAGCTCTCAATATTTGTTTGTTTGCTTGGAGGTCTTGAGCTTTTTTAGTCGGTTCATTGCTTCAAGATGGTTGCTTTGGCTCGACTCTGCTAAAGTCGCAAGGAAGGGCAAGTTGCTGCATAGGAGTCCCACCAGGATCAATCCAGACTAGAAGCAGGTCCTTGCAACAAAAGGCCGGCAAATCAATGGAAAAGCAACGGTTGATGCTCGATTTTTGCTCGACATTCTTGAAGGAAGCAACCCAGCAGCTTCTCCTCTGACACTGGCTTCTTCGACATTTGCCAGTGCACAATTGCCCACAAACTCGGACAACCTGATCGCAAGTGGTCCGTTCTTGTCCAAGGCCCAAAAAACACCCGGGAACATCACCTATGCACGAAATGTCATCTCCCCAATGTCACCCAAGCAATCTATCTATACACAAGATCAAACGAAAACAGCACCACCAAGAACAAGGCGCACAAATCACGTCCTTCCGTTCTCTCGAAGTACGTTGTGAAGCTATGTTCAACTCACGGGTAGCCAGTTGTGCATTATGTTTGGTTCCCTTGGAGCCCTCTGCTTTTCCCACGCAAGGCTTGATTGTGAGGAGTTTTCTGTTTTGTGAGTGCTGTCCTCTTCCAAAGATCGCAAAGCAAATGAAATGCTTTGATGGTTGTTTGTCCGCATTTTGGTTCTCATGTCTTCGACTGTGACCTGGGATGGTTTGCAGTTTCTTGAAAAATAGAAAAAAACAACGTTCTTTTCCCATGCAACAGTGCTTCGAGATCTTGGATCTTGCCTGCTGGGGCTCGGAAGGCCCCCCTTGCGGTGCAGTGCCTTTCGTAGTCTCGCTTTCTTTAGTGGTTCTTTCAGGCTTATGCTGGGAATAGCCACAGCTTCTGGCTTGGAGGAATCTTCTCAGGCTTCCGTCATTCTCACAGGGGAGGCTCAAAAAAGCTGCCTCGCTTGACATATTCCTTCCGATCAAGCCATTACTTCTGAACACCGGTACTCCGTCTTTTTGAAATTTGGACGGCGGGAGGTCCACATGGGTTCAAAAACAAGTCTTGTGGGACTTTCATCAATAAAACTGAAGATTGTCAACAAACCATCACAAACCCACATCGGTCGCCGACCGTTGCTTGAACCTTCCTGTGGGATCTGAAGCACGTTGGGTGCTACTTACTCACATGAGTCAACTGGTAGCGTCCAAGTCTGCAAGCAGCTGGCTGGCACGAACACTCATCACAACAAGGGACTGTCAGTTTTTTAACCTTAGATTGTGCACAGGTTAATCAGGATACTGTAGTCCTCTCACAAGTTTGCACCAATCACAACTTAACCTGTGCTTTGTCTGACCCTGTGCTAGCGGCGAGAGCAAGACCTATCCGGCCCTGAAGCCTCTCATGGCCTCAACCCATACAACATTGCTCCAGGATAGATGTTATGCATTTTCGCCTTGACATGGGGCGTGATCATGCATTTGACCTGGACACTGGAAACATGCTCACTCACTCACCAGCCTCACTCACCCACTGACTCGCCCACTCACGGAATGACTGACTGACTGTCTGTCTGACTGACTGACTGGCTCACTCCCTCCCTCCCTCCCTCACTCACTCACTCACTGGCTCACTCACTCCCTCACTCTCACTCACTCACTCACTGAGACTCACTCACTCTCTCGCTCTATATCTATCTATCTATCTATCTATCTATCTCTCTCTCTCTCTCTCTCTTGCCCGTCAAGCTGCTGTACAGTCCAGAGCTTGACGAAGCAACAGCTGACACGTCTCCATCAAATACCAAGTCAGTCTTGTTCCTGGTGCGCGTGATTGCCACCAGTTTTGAACCAAGTAAAAGCTGCCGCAATTCATAACGGAAAGTGAGATAGAGCTAGTGAGCTAGTGCTAGTGCGGCCACTCTTTGATTCCAAGAACTTTTGTAAAGATTTTGAAGATGGCCATTGTCAGTCAGGCCACCAATCGCATCCAATCCTCAAGGCCAAAAGTGAGCTTGACCGCGACGGCATCGCAAGCTTCTCGCGAAGAAGCAGAGTCGTTCGCCCCTGCAGTCCGGCTTGAAACTGTTCAATCGAGTATGAATTCCCAACAATACCAATCACCCAACGTTCAGTCACTTGGCAGCCCTAGCACAAGCATAAAGCGGACCCTGCGCCGAGCAGCATGCCCAAGCTGCAACTGCAAGGTTTGGACATGAAAAAGGCCGTCCACATTACCTTGGAAAGCAACCCTCGTCCGTGCAGCAAAGCAGAAATTGCACTGAATTGCGAAGCTGAGTGGAACCTGCAACGCGGGCGCTCTACAAGTACGCAGTTCTTGGGACTTGATGCAGGCAGGTCTCGCTGCAAGCGGTCCACAGAGACAACATCCGCGAAAGAGCTGGCCAATACCTGCGTAAGTCCTTGCATTGATATGCGGTGCGGGCGGCTGGCCAAAAATGTAGGAACAAGTCATCCATGTATATAAGTCATCACAAGTGAATCAGAAGTCACTGGAGTCACTCGCCAGGGAGCGCCACAGCGCTGGCACTTGATGCTTCTGTACCTTGCTGCATCTTATTCCTTCGGAATAACGGAATGCAAACCGAATCGCCATACCTTCTCTTGGAGTGTAGCTCTCGAGCGCTCTGCGTTCCAGACGTCTTTCCACCCGTGTCATTTCATCAAGTTGCACGGGTCCACACCTTGCGGCTGTTCTGCTTGGATAGTTTATCCAGCGAATCCTGGTCGAATTACAAAGTGCACCAGACATGCCTCACCAGTTGCATGGCATGTGCTTTCATACCCTGACGCCTTCAACTGAGTGCTCTGAAGGCTGTTGTCAAACTTCCGTGCAAAGAAGGCCCACCTTGTGACAAAGCTTTGCACGCAAGGAGTGAGAAGTGCGGAAGCATGGATCCTCTTCAAGGCAAGTTGCAAAGACTTGTCGCGAACTTCCGACACTTTGGCCACATCCTGAGCTTCAACCCAGCAATGCTCTGCTAAGGGCTGATAGCGGCTGATAGCGCTTGACAACGGATTGATGTCACACAGTGCGACAAAGCCAAGCTGCCCTCGGAAAGATCAACACTCCAGGCGACATGATGTTGTACTCGCTAGTCAAGCTGCGCACTTCTCGCATGCTGTCCTTGTCTGTCCAGTGCAGGGTGTAGTCGGAGTAGCGGGAGCAAAACTCTGAGTTCAGAACCACCGCCTGAAGTTGATCTGGCATCTTGAAGGGCAAAGCAATTGCACCAATGTGTGGGAGACCTCAAAACACCTCTTTGCTGTAGGCCTGGAAGAAGCTTTCATCCGGCTGCTTCACTGTGATGAGGTCATGAAGGATGGTTCCCACAATGGTTGACGAGTTTGATAAATGCGTTCCAATCACAGCCGCAAGTTGATAGGTAATGGCAAACCACTGAGACCCACTGGCATATCCTCAGGTAAAACAATGTGTCTCAACTGTTTTTTGGTGTATATATATATACATAACCATCGACCAAGCTTCTCATTCCAGGGATCTTTGGATATTGGACACCTCCAGACCTCTGCCACAAATTGAGTGCCTCTTTGTCGACCAATGTGCCCACCATAGAACCCGTCAACACGAGCACAAACTACATGCAGAAACAACATATTACACATTTGTAAGTACAGCTGTCTCGATTGCGTGTGAGATGCGCATGGTACCACAAACCTGCGTAGTGCTTTTTGTAAAGGGTGGATCACAGCATTGACAACACAAAGAGCTGTGCAGGATATGAGCTGATGTAAGCCTGTTGAGCGCAGCAGCAGTCAGAACAACTTCTGAAGAACGGCCCTGCTGCGAGAGCAAAAACCACTTGGGGTAGTGAAGGGGATTGAGGTGTGAAGCGTCCTGTGGATCTTTGGAAACTTCTGTGACCAGGTAGAACACACAAAGGAAGCTCTTTGCTCCTAGTAGCGTTCTTGCTCCCACTTGCAGAATCTTGTAGAGACAATCCAGAGTGGCTATGAATTGTTCATGGGCGAAATATGGCTTTGCAGTTTTTAGTTCATACATACGTGTGGTGCCCTCCGTTCAAGAAAACTAGCCAAACGCTTGCAAGAAAAATGTTGAATCTTCGCAGTGGCTAAATTTTACACGTACCTTTCTGCAGCAGGAAGCCCAGCCACCATTTCCAGGTTGGTATTCAAGGGCCACATGTTATACAAACAGTTTACACCATCTAGTAGTTATTGAAGACTGGAGAAGCTACAGTAGCAGCTACAGTGCTACAGCTAGAGAGATCCCATCTGTTTCCTGCACTTCCTGACAGGGCTGGGAGAGAATTGCCTTGGGATTGCCAATTCAAAATACGGGGGTCGCTTTCCTGACTGTTCTAAATCTCATGTTGTCAAGGATGGCAGCGGAGTAGTTGTATAAATGGACACGAATGTGGAATGGCATGCGTGCCAGGGTGTCACGTGTGCTGCGGCAGCACGAGCATTCCCACCATTTTGGCCCCGACAATGCAAGAATGACGTGGAACATCACGAAACCACAAGCAGGTAGGTAGGGTTGTGACTGTGAGTGCTAAGCAGTTACGTTTGCATGCATATTCATCTATACCGGTGGCGGTTCATATTGGCTGAAATATAGACACATGAGTCCATCGTGAGTCCATATTTCGTAACATGAAACGGGCAGGGTGGAAAGCACAGACAAGGCACAATGAGACGACCCTGTCTCCACACTGGTATGATACATCTCGTTCGCACTCCCCCTGGCGGCAAGTAAAGAGTGCTTTTACCTCTTGGAAGCATCTAAGCCACAGATGCACAAATGCCCAGCTTGTAAAAGCTTGAGGTGGTGTGCATTATACACACATATATATATAGGCTGAGTGCAGCGCCTCGTCCACGGAGACAAAGCTTGTGCCTCTGTGCACCCACAAATATTCGGCAAGAACGGCGTTTCCTCTCAATGGATAGTCCTGCGACTCACTTGACTCTCTTACTCACCTATCAAAAAGAACTCGTCGGTCCTGTTCGCTCAACAGAATGCAGAAGTCCCATGGAATGGTGTGGTTCAACAAACGACGAATACCTGAAATTGAAAACAGCATTGGACTACAAAAGTTCCGTCTGAAAGTCTCCCACCTAGGAGCTCTGCGTGGAGCATGTTCGGGCCACCACGGACTATATTCAACCTGATTCACCCAACTTCGCAACTTCGGCCCTTCAGCCAGTTACTATTTGACAGAATTAAAGTTCAAAGCAGAAATGGCAGAAAAGTGGCTCAGAAAAGATCTGCACTGCATAATCCAAGCCCTCTTCCACAACCCAGATTGAAAGCTCATTGAACATGGATGGGTTTTTCTCATCGATATGCACCTAAGGCGATCTCAGGAGGTTGGAAGATTATGTGTTTCGTTGGGATCTCATCCAGCTTCAGTGTGCAAAGCCATGGCACTGCAAATATAGTTCCAAGGGGCACAAAGAGTCTGGACACAAGCCGCTTGACATTCCTTCCATGCGCTCACCACATTCTAGAAGACTTGCCGCAACTAGCCGCCCCGCCAAACTTTCATTGTGGAATCATTGCATGAAGGATTTGATTACTCCGTGCAGTAGCACGTGTCACAACATGAAAGTTGGACAACAAAAATAACGACAGTGTATGTATGTATGTATGTATGTATGTATGTATGAATGTATGTATGTATGTATGTGTGTGTGTATGTGTGTGTGCACGCATGCATGTATGCATGTATGCATGCACGCACGCATGCATGTATGTGTGTATGTATGTATGTATGTATGTACTGTGTGTGTGGATGTATGTATGCATGCATGGATGCATGTATGCATGTATGCATGCATGTACTGTATGTATGTACTGTATGTATGTATGTATGTATGTATGTATGTACGTAGGTATGTATGGATGGATGGATGGATGGATGTATGGATGTATGCATGCATGGATGGATGGATGGATGGATGGATGGATGGATGTGTGGATGTATGTATGTATGTATGGATGTATGGATGTACGGATGTATGTATGGATGTATGTATGTATGTATGGATGTACTGTATGTATGTATATACATGATTAAGCAATCAAATAGCAGGTACGGGTACAGGGACGTGACCTTCTGCCACAAACATGCCTGCAAGAGACACCCCACTTTTGGATAGAATTTGGAGCACCTCTAAAGTTGCTTGGAAGCTAACTCGGCGCTTGGCAAGATACCTTATATAGATTTTAAGTTTGGAGAATTCTAGCAAGCCAGGATCACAAATCTGCGGCAAGAACATCACATAGCCACATGAACCCCTCTAGGAAAAGATCCTGATATGCCAAAAACATCAGCTTGCCCAAGTCAGCAAAGCTGCTCTGGAAACTGATGTGCCAATATGACCTGACAAAACAACGCAGTCCTTCCACGGACAATCGACACTAAATCGAAATGACAAATGGCAAATTGGCTGTAAGTTGCGTAGGCAATGGTCGCCCGATGAAAGGGGCGGAAGACCAGCTCGGGGTCCTGGATTGAAAGTCAGCATGAACATTCTGCCTGGCACTCATCTGGACAATTCTGAGGTTTCTCCTTATCACCACCGGCAACAAAACCAGAGACAAAGCGCTCAGTATATCCTCGCACTGCAGTGAAGTGGTGCTTACATTGGTCGAACAAAAGGCCAACAAGTCCAACACGGCACTAGTCACTGCGCGAGTCACTACTTTTAAAGAAGAGGACGCCCAATTGAAAAACATTATATGAATATGTAGTCAGGGAGCACTGATTGGAAAACCAAAACCCTTTACCCGACTGGGCCAAAGCAGCTTCTTCAGTGCTGAGAGGCTCTTGGAGGCAACATCACGCACCCTCCGGCAGTAGAACCGCTGGATGTCCTGCGTTGCGCAAAACACTTTCGGCGCATTTGACGCAAAGGTGATTAGGGCGCAACAGCTATTGAGAACTTCTCGCTGAAATCCCGAAGACCCTAGTTTCGGCAGACCATGGCAAACCCTGCAAAGAAACAGTGTACTGCACCACCATGTGGGCACTTGGGCCAAAAACCTTGAGGGGGTATATAGTACTTGCTACTTGCATGCCCCCTTACGTCCTCATGACACACAGTGGACACCGCATTGAGGTTGATATCGGAAGCTGCAGCGGCCAGGCACCGATTCAATGAAAGAGGCTTTCCTCCAAGGGGGCACATCCCTCGCAACGGTCGTTTCCATGAAGCAGGTCGTTCAAGTAAAGCAAACGGAATTACACCAGCATAGGCCTGCCCAGATAGCTAGGCAGAATTCCACGACCTGTTGACATGCGACTGGCTGGAACAAGAATGTGCGCAGCTTGCGCGGCCAGCTTACGGCACCTCCACAGCGCACAATCAGCTGACACCAGGAGGTGCACTTTGCCAGCTGACAACACCGGCAGCGGCAGCACCCGACCTGCGCCGCCGCCCGTCTTAAACGTGCGCTCAGCCAGCTCACAGCACCAGCACCCAGGACCACAACACCAGCACCAGCACCGACACCCTTTCGAAAGCGCGCGCAGCCAGCTCATTCGCATTTGCAGCAAGAGCCCCATAGCTATCCCTATTTGGGGAGTAACAATGTACGATCTTGTGCGTATAAGTTTATGCGCACAAAAGTATGCGCGCAAACAGCAAACTCAAGGCCAAGCAGTATCCAGCGCCACTATTGACTTTGTAGCATGTTTGAAGCAACGATCTGCAGAATATAAGGCCGCATGATCTTGCGCGTATCACTTTATGCGCACAAAAGTACGCGCACAAACGGCAAAGCCCGTAGGTTTCACTCGCCCAAGGCCAAGCAGTATCCAGCACGACTATTGTGTGTGTAGCATGCTGAAACATGCTGAAACAATGGTCGGTTGAGAGCCTGACGTTGCGCATAGAACAGTATACGTGCAAAAGTATGCGTGCAAACAGTACAGCCCTTGACACAGCTGTCGGCCAAAACAGAACCTGAAGAGTGTAAATACCCCACAGCGCTAATAGACAAAGAACGCTCAAGCGACGACACCGTATGAGGTTGCGTGCATGAGTTCATGCGGCCCTGAATGCTGGCACTTCATTGTCAGAAGCGGCGCTTGGTCGCCCTTCACTGCTGCAAGCGGCGGTTTGTTACCCTTCACTGTTAGAAGCGGCGGTTGTCACCACTTCACTGTCAAAAGCGGGCACCAGCACCGAGCACCGGCACACCAGCTCACGGCGCCCAGCACCAGCACCCGGCACCCAGCACCCGGCACCCTGTCTCCACCACGCGCGCAGCAGTCTCCACCACACGCACTGCCAGCTCACACCACCGGCACCGGCGCCCGCTGTCTCTACCACGCACACTGCCAGCACCCAGCACCGGCACCGTGTGTCCACCACGCGCGCAGCCAGCTCACAGCACCCAGCACCAGCACCACAGCCCGCACCAGCACCCGGCACCAGCACCAGCTACACCACCAGCACCAGCACCGGCGCCAAGCACCAGCACCAGCACCAGTGCCAGTGCTGGTGTTGGGTGCCGAGTGCCGGTGCTGGTGCTGGTGTTGTGAGCTGGCTGTGCGCGTGGTGGAGACAGGTTGCTGGTGCTGGTGCCGGGTGCCTGCTGGGTGCCGGTTCTGGTGCTGGTGCTGTGCACGTGGTGGAGACAGGTTGCTGGTGCTGGTGCCGCCCACCATCCGCACAGCCAGCTCACAGCACCAGCACCAGCACCGGCACCCGGCACCAGCACCAGCAACCTGTCTCCACCACGCGCACAGCCAGCTCACAGCACCAGCGCCGGCGCCCGGCACCCAGCACCACCACCAGCACCAGCAGCAACCTGTCTCAACCACGTGCAGCCAACTCACAACACCAGCACCGGCACCCGGCACCCAGCACCAGCACCAGCAATTTGTCTCCACCACATGCACAGCCAGCTCACAGCACCAGCACCGGCACCCGGCACCCGGCACCCAGCACGAGCAACCTGTCTCCACCACGCGCACAGCAGCACCAGCACCGGCACCCGGCACCCAGCAACCTGTCTCGAAAGCGCGCACGGGCAACTCATTGTTATTTGAAGTATGAACCCCATAGCTTCGCTATCTGGGGAAAAAGAGGGTGGCAGGGTTGCCCAGTTCAACAAATGTGCGAAAGGTTGACCATATCAATCAGCATGTTGTCATGCTTTTTGCAATGGCATCGCTTGAGTCCTGAGACAATGGCATCCCCCAATATCGTTGCTTGGCATTGAGGCACTGAGAGGAACACCACCACTGGTCCAATCCAGCTGTAGAAAGTCCGCAAGCTTGAGCTCATGTAGCGAGGCGCTCGGGAGCATCAAAGTTCATAGAATGGAACAAAGCGCCATTGACACAGCTCCGCTTATCGCTCTCTGCTGCTCGCTCACTCGCGCTCTCTCTCTCTCTCTCTCTCTCGGTATCTATCTATCTATCTATCTATCTACAGTATCTATTGCTTGATGTACTCGAAAAGCTTCAGGCAAGCAAGTCCGTCCGGCGGAATGTGTTGCTCACAATGCGATGCGGCTTCCCAAGGTGACAAAACCTGGCCTTCTGCCTCAGGGTAATGAGCAGCTGTATTAATCTGGGGTTTCCTTGGCCCGACACTTTGAGAAACCCAAGCAACTGTTTGCGCTGAGAAAACTCTTCCAGCCTAAGCTACAAACCCTTCAGCTTGACAACATTTGGCACCAAAACATCTTCCTGCCCAGAATGCATCTCACTTCACCACACAAAACAAGTGAAACAGGTGTCTCGGAGCTTTGCTAAGTCAGGGTACCCTGCCTGTGAGCTTTCAAGGTCCATGCTAAGCGAGACATTACTCAGCATCAGTAGGGCCTGCATTGGGCATTTGAGTGCGCCTGTGACAGTCTCATCACTTCGACCCAGCTTTGGTAGCTCTTCTGGTCAAGTCATATGCGAGCCCCTTTAAGTTAGGTGCTGGACACATTTGTACAACTCCACGACGAAACCGATATATTGTGCGTGTGCATGCCTTGAACTCAGTACATACTTATACATGTGTGCAATATACAGTAAGTGCAAAAATGCATCCCGTAGACAAGGTCATTCTGTTTAAAATGGTTTCGACTTGCGATTCCAGGATTTCCAAGTCCCTTTCGATTTCAACTGAGTTCAACGACAACAACAAATGGCTTGGAACCCTGGGCAACTTGAGAAAGGACGGTGAAGGACCTTGGCCATGCTCAACTCTTCTTTCAAGCTGTGCTCCAAAGCCTCCATAGGACCATAGGACTTCAGGCATCGGCCACAAATTGAACTCGGTAATTATGAGCTGCAAGGCCTGGCTGTCCTCAATCTGTGATGGTGCAGCCACTGCCTCAAATCTCCGCATGCAGCGCATTGCATGTCATGTGCACGTCAGCCTTTGCCATCTGTAGGGACTGAGAAAGTGTCTTTCTCCGCACTCCCGGCAGGAGCCACACCCTCAGGCAGTCAAAAAATGACAATGTTGCCTTGCAAAAAGTTTGGGCATCAAGCTTCATTCAACATTACTTTGCTGCCGCTGAAGTGCAGAGTGTGCCGCTGGTCCCAGCACATCAGCATGGTCCTCCCGATCGGAAGAGAAGACTTTGGGCAGGCCGAAACAACTTAGCTGAGACATCAAATATCAAAGGCAGTTAGGAGGTCCTTGAGGTCGCTGCTAATATGTTGATGGGCCAGCTGGTCTGGACCAAGATGCTGCCTGCCTCAATGCGATAAACACATGAATGGCTGTAAATGTTTGGGAAGGCTGGATAAATAAAGTCTGAGGGTAATGCACTCGCCAAGCTCTTCTAAAGCGAGCCTTGATTCTTGATGCATGTGCAATAATAGGCGGTTCGAGGAAAGGACAAATGATTGATTCGGCCTCAGCCTTTCTCGCAGTGCTGCTACCAAAGGGCCTGAAGAAATTGCATTTGGTTCAGTCAAAGCAGAAAAGCCTTGTACGAAACAGGCGTGTAAATAGGAGATGATTCATGAAAATGTATCTGCATATGTGTATATATATATACTTATTTAATATATACGCCCGTTCTATCTTGCCATGTCTTCTTTGAATAAGTTTGCGACTTCCTGCGCCATCCTGGCCGAAACGGCAAAACAGTGCGAAGCGAAGCAGGGAAGCGAAAGCCAAGCCTCGGCCTCGGCCTCAGCAGCCTCACCCATGAGAAACAAATGCAAACAATGCTTCAGTCTTCTTAGAATCTTCGCGTGATATCGTCTCACCTCGTGTACAGTAATTTGACTTTAATCAGCTTGAATGTCCCCCGATCTTGCCATCTCTCTATGGCTTGTTGATATTGTTTGAGTTGGACCTCAAAGGAAGCAAAACGAAATCCTCTTACCACGCGACAAGGATGCAAGCATCGTGAATTGTGTGACATATGGAGATTATAGAATATGATAGACATCCTGTGACATGCATGCTAAGTGCCAAAAGAACGTCGAGATGAAGACTGTGAACAGTCACACTGATAAGTTTGACGTGCTTGCCAGTCATGCTCTGCAACACAGAAAACAGTCAGTCTGCGCGTCCCTTTGGCATCCACTTAGCATGGGGCCGTGTGAAGCGTCGTGAAGAGTACCCAGTGCTGGCTCTTTGTCACAGCACGGCTCCGACGCTGGAGACGATTGACACCCAGAAGCAGCCCAACTGAGCCTTCTTTAGGATAGAGGCCATCGCTCTTAGGTTGGAGGCCATCGCTTCTAGGTTAGGCCATCGCTCTTATGAGCAAACGTTGTGCCGTCCCAACTTGGTGCCATTTCAAGGTCTTGGGCACAATGAGCTTTGCAGCCCTCATTTGAAGCTACTTCCTGGAAACGGAACTCAATGCGAACTGAAAGAATCTGTCACAGAATTCATACAGTATCCAAACAAATGGTGACAGTGCATGTCGTGCCTTCCCAAGTGCCTGATTGTGCCAAATGGGTGACGTACTGCAGGCGCTGGTCAGGGAGCAAGGACCCTCTGAGGATTGCAACATTCAACTACATATACAATTCTCAACAAAACGTTCGAGTACGAGTACTGAGCACTGAGAAAGGCATGAAAGTTTTTGCTCATCAGGTTGCACAAACTCTTGCTTGCTCTGCGAGCCTGGTGGCTGCACTCAGCCGCTTCTTGCAAGCAGTTTGATACTGGAAAATCATCGACAAAAGCTGTATCTTCCCTCACTTTGGAGGTTCTCTGCGGTTTGCAAGCGAAAGCTTCCGGCACAAGCTGGTCGCCAAAGCAAGACAGCAAAGGAGGTGAAGGATCATAGCCAGGACACAGTGGTATGCAATGTTCGCCATCCATCAAGATCCCATCACACACAGAATCTCGCTTGGCAGTCGAAGTGCCAACAGGTGCTTGAGGTGCTGGGCAACGTGCCAGCGCTAGGCTAACTGGAAACATCGAGAACCGCATCTTGGATTTCATCGCTTGGGCCGAAAGGACCTGACCTGACCTGACATGAGGAGCTACCCCAACAAGGAGCCATCTGTCACAACAAACACATTCGTTGACATCGTCTCGCAAGACCCCTTTTCAACATGGTACGTGTGACCACGGAAGTGAAACGCACAAGATGCCTTGAACGCTCTTCTGTTGTTGGCTGCCGGATCTATGGGGAAGTTGGTCTGCAAAATGTGTACACTGTATACACGAACGGCCTTGTTTGGCAGCTACAACTCTGCAAGGTCATGTCGATCATGCGCGATCTCACGCACTGCAGGTCTCTGGGATGGCACCTGTCTCAGTTGCAAATGCCACACGACCATACGCGATGGATGATTTTCCCATGCCAATTTGCTTGGAAGAGTCTGGCACTGAGCAAAAGGCATTTGACCAAGGCCCTTCACCCTCAGCGAGCTTGTTCAAGCCTTGACCTGAACAACTGCTAAGCATATCAAAAGGCTTGGTCTTGCCTGCCATGAAATATATAAATCATTGTACAGTCAATCTGTCTCCACCAAGCAGCGCCAAACATCCAAGCTGAAAATGTTGATCTGAAAGAAACCTCAAAAACAACAGCAAGAAACATCCCCACCCCTAAGGGGGGGGGGACCTGTCTAAATGTAAGCTACATTTTTTGCAACTTTGGGCTTAAAAAATGTAAGTTACATTTTCTTAGGGGCACCTTAAAAAATGTAAGTTACATTTTTTGAATAAATGTAAGCTACATTTTTTGAGGTTCCGTTTTCTTGACGCGTTTCTGTGTTTTACCTTTTTCCTCTAGACCGTCTTCCTTTTCTTCCTGCTATTTTTAAGACTTCCAAGCCAGTGACAGAAGCATGCATGTAAAGTATGTTTTTTATGGTTTCGTTATTGTTTTGGTATGATTTGCTATTTTTTCTCAAGCCTTTGGGCAACTCCAAAGCTTGACCTTTTGGTAGCCTTTCCAGGTCGCTTTGGGGAACCTGCCTCCATCCTTCGGAAAAGGAAAACCATACCAAAATCATATCAAAACTATATCAAAATCATAACAAAACCATAAGCGTTACACGTTTCTTATGGTTTTCTTAGGACCCAGCCACCCTGGCCATCTCTTACCTCCACAACCCAACCTAGTTTCAAGCCCTTGAGCCATTCCAAGGCCTTTTGACCTTTTGGTAGCCTTTCCAGGTGGCTTTCAACTTTCCATATTGATTGTTTTTCCCATGTGCATCTTTAGTTCTGTAGATATTTGTAGATTCCATATGTTGCCTTTCAATGTCTAGGTGCATACCACCGGTTTAGGGGCGTCCCAAAATGTAGCTTACATTTTTGGAGGTTCCGTTTTCTTAACGCCTTTCCGTGTTTTCCCTTTTTTCCTGCAGACCTTTCTTCCTTCTCTTCCCGTTCTTTTTTGTACTTCTTTCCTTCTTCTTAGATACCAGTGGGCCCTAGGGCCATTACCCGCTTCCTGACGAAGCCGCTCATGAGAATCTGTTGCTGCATTCTACTGCTGGTTTCTTTCTTTCAGTTGCCATTTGACCGTAGAGTCTTTGCATGGCCACTTTCTTGGCTGCTTTTCCCGGATGCATCTTTAGTTTTGAAGTTTTCATATGGTGCTTTTCAATGTCTAGGTACATACCACCGGTTTTGGGGCGCCCCAAAATGTAGCTTACATTTTTGGAGGTTCCGGTTTCTCAACAACGCCTTTCTGTGTTTTCCCCTTTTTCCTCTAGACCTTTCTTCCTTCTCTTCCCGTTCTTTTCTGTATTTCTTTCGTTCTTCTTAGATACCAGTGGGCCCAGGGCCATTACCCGCTTCCTGACGGAGCCGCTCATGAGAATCTGCTGCTGCATTCTACTGCTGGATTCTTTCTCCTATCTATATGTGCCTCCCCTCTCCCCTCTCAGTTGCCGTAGAGTCTTTGCATGGACACTTGCTTGGCTGCTTTTCCCGGATGCATCTTTAGTTTTGAAGTTTTCATATGTTGCCTTTCAATGTCTAGGTACATACCAC